ACTCGCCTGTGTGGGCGCCGCAGCCCCCATCCCCCCAGCCCTTCCACCTGGACTGTCGTGCTTCCCGCCCTGCCCTGCCCGCGGCCTCCTCTCTGCCGGAGCCTGCAAGCCCCACCCCTGCCCGCCCCCCAGCACCCTCCCTCCTCCACCCAGCCCGGCTTAGTTTGCACCCCCAGAGGCAGCTGAGACAAGGGTTCAAGTGGGAGTGACCCCAAGTGGCCCTGGGCTGGAGGGGAACAGGGAGGGAGGCCCCCTAAGGCGCTGTCCTGGACGCTGCACTGTACCCCAGAGTTGTCCCACCCAGTAGAGAGCTGGGGTCGTCACTCCCCAGTTCCTGCTGAGGGCGGCCTTGTGGGAAGCAGCCCCTTCTCTGTCTTCTGGGCTCAGGCACCGGGGCAGATCCCAGGGGTGGGTGTGGTAGACACGGGTGACCCTGTGGTCTGCCCGCCTGCCAGCCCACCCACAGGCGCCCAGTGCAGAGGCGACGGGGCCAGCGATGGCAGTAGCTGCCACCCCGGGAGGGAGGCGGGAGGTGGCCGTGGTCGCTGCTCTCCCGCTTGCACCCCTGGCTCTGCGGCCGGGTGCCCGCAGCCCGGCCAGCTCTCAGCTCCCCGGAATCGCCCCCTCCGCCCTCAGCCCTGTCCACTCCTGGCCGAGGCCTGGTCTCACTTCTGTGGCCTGCGGTGCCCTCCTTGGAGAACTGTCACTTCCATGGTTCTCTGGGTCCCGAATCCTCTGCTCCTCCTGCTGTGCCAGAGGGGCCCTTCACGACCCCAGGCACAGCCCCTGCGTGCCCTCCCACTGCTGGACTCCGCATGCACCTGCTGCCTGGGCCTCCCAGCCACAGCCAGACCCCACTGTGCTACCCCAAGAGCCTGCCTGAGCCCTCACCCACCCTTCACCAAGAAGGGGTGCTCTAAACTGGGAACTCGCAGGAGATGAGGATGGGGCATTGTCCAGCTGGGCCCTGGTCAGCTCACCCGTGGACCCAGTGCAGCATGCTCACAGCTTACGAGCATCCTGCCCGCCAGGGTTTCCCTGGGCTTTTCCCTGCAGGTTTGGCCAGGGCATGTGGGCAGGGAGGCACCTCTGCTTGGTACCCTAGTCCTGGCTCCCCAGTGGCCACCGTTTCTTCAGAGACAGACCCCGCTCTGCTGCTGCCCGGAAGAGCCGCATGGCTCTCTCGTGGGGCGCGCTTTGACCGTGGTCTCTGGCCTTTCTCTGCAAGCCACTTGTCCAGGCCAGAGCAGGGCTTTGGGGCCTGCTGTGGAGCAGGAAGTGTTTCGGGAGCCGGGAGAGGCTTGCGGCAGCCAGAGCGGCTACACAATGGCCCCTTGTGCACACACATTCCTCCTTAAACAGGCCCAGATCCAGCCGCCTGCTCCCGCCCCTCAGGCACAGACCAGGAGGTTGCTTCTGCCTGGCCAGCCGAGCTGAGACCGAGGAGGAGAGGGCGGGCGGGGCCCTCCCAGAGTCGTCCACTCCTGCTCCCAGGCAGGCTTGTGGGTGGCTTTAGCCCCTGGAAACGTGGAGTGACCCATGTCCAGTGCAGACGTGTGGGGCAGGGCAGGGCCTGGTGGCCGGAGCTCTGCTCGGTGCAGGACGGCGCCTCTGGCGCAGCCACACGTGCTCGGGGCGGCCCCACCCAGGTCTTTAGCTGCTATTTTTGCTTCGTATTTTCAGCGTGTCTCATCTTCAAGCCTTGGATTTTGATGACTGCGCTGGATCGCGGCATCTGGGGCTGGACAATGTGCGGAGCCCGGATTGTTTCCAGCGCGCGCCGTCCTGGCGCTGGTGCAAATGTCTGCAAACATAAATCTTTCACTTCTGAGTCTTCGCGGGACAGGCCCGGCGGCGGCCCGTGCACACAGGCTCTCTCCGGGCCTTGAGGCTCACCACGGGGCAAAGGGAAGGGCGAGTGGAGTGAGACTTTGGGGAGCAAAGGAGTCCGCTGGGCATGGACCCTGGGGAGGGGCAGGCGGGCAGTTTGGCAACTGGTGTGAGCGGAGCTGGGCAGTCAGAGCTGGGCACTTGGCCTGGGCGGCAGTGCTTGTGTCTGATGCTCTGGGGATCCGGCTCTTCAAGCCCCGCTGGGCATCTTGCATCCCCACTGGCTCTTTTTTTTTTTTTTAAAGATTTATTTTTATTTATACAAGAATTGGGGTACAGGCCAGAGACGTGGGAGGGTGAGTGGATTCACCAGAGATAGAGCCGGGAGCAGAACAGGCAGACTGACCAAAGACACTGCTGAGGGGAGCAGCGGGCGAGGCAGGAGAGGTCTGCCATGCCATGTGGGTAGCTCCCTGGTCAGCTGGGACTCGAACCCGCACTGCAGAGGCTGTAGACAGCTTCGCAGTGCTGCGCTCAACCTGCTGCGCCACTGGGGAGGCCCACCACTGGCTCTTTAACCCACTGACCAGGGGACACAGCCCAGCGCTAGCCCGTGAATGGCCACTATTCTGCCCGGTGGCTCCTTTGGGACCGCCGGCCACCAGAGCTGACGTGCAGCCATGGAGGTCTCAGACCTGCAAAGGGATGAGCTGGAGTCCCTGGCTGGTGCCTGTGGAGCTTCGTGACAAGGCGCCCCGAATTTTCCCTGGCTGGGCGCTCTGTGCTGGGGGCCTCTGTGGGTGGGGAGGCGGGTGCATGGCGGCTCTTGCAAAGCAGCCTGTGTCATCAGCAGCTACCCCGATGGGAAGCGGCGATGCAGCTCCCTGGCGGCTTCTCCCACATCTGGGGTTTGGTGTGGTGCCAGGAACCGGAATAGGAGAAGCTTTTTCTCTCTGGGCTCATCTGGGGCGCTCGGCCGGCTTCTGTTGGCTCCTCCCCGGGACGTTCGCGGAGTGTGGTCGGGGCTGGAGCGCTGCCCGGTGTGTGGTCATGGCCCCCCCCCCCCCCCCCCCGGGCTCTCCCCCTTTGTCTCCTGCGAGGACACTTCTCACTGGATTAGAGTTTGTCCTAAATCCAGGGCAAGCTCACTTGGAATGCTCACCCCAAGCTTCTTTGCAGAAACCCTTTTTGCAAATAAGGCCACATGCCCAGGTGCTAGGGGTTAGCGTGTTTTGGGGGGACACAGCTCAGTCTGCAGACCCCAGAGGGAAGTGAAGTTCCACAGGCCAAAGTGGGGGTGAGGACCTAGTGTCTCCCTGTTCCTGAGGCCAGTTATCCGGGGGGCCCCTGTGCTCTGTGCCCACAAACCTGTGTCTGGTCGGACCTTTACATTGGAGGCAGAAACCCCTGAGGCCTGGTGATGAGGCTGGAGCTGGCTGGTGGGGTGTGAGGGAGGACACCCCAGATGCCAGGTGATGTGGGAGGGAAGTGGTGTGAACGGGGTGGCCTTTGGGAGGAGGTGAGAACAGCCTGGGTTTGGGGGACTGGACATCAGGAGATGTGCTTGTTTGGGGGATGGCATTGGGCCTCAAGAGCAAGCCAGACACCCCAGCTGAGCAGTCCCCGGCCTCTGGGGCCACCTTACAGGCACAGTTCAGATGGTGCTGCTGGCGACACGCGGGTCTGCTCTGCCCTTTGTGGCCAGTGGAACAGGGACTTGGCTTTCCAGGCTCCGGTGCCCGGGCCGCTGCACTCTGTCCTGGCCAACGGCCCCCAGTGGGGTGGGCTGCACGCTGGGGAACCCCTAGAGGCCGGGCCCGCAGCCCGGGTGCAGCCTGCCCGTGTGTTTTAAAAGGGCTGTTTTGGTTGGTTTGTGCCATGTTTAAAACATATTTTAAAAAGGTATTTTAGATCTTAGAATCTGGATTTTCAGATTCTCTTGAGAAGCCCGAAACTCGGGCCATGCGGGCCCGTGAGCCTCCCAGACGGCAGCGGGGCTGGGACAGTGTCCTCTGATGTCCCTGCCTGGCCTCTGCTGCCCGGAGTTCTGCGCCCTCTGTCCACGAGGTGGAGGTGGCCGGGCCTTGGAGAGGGCTGCATGGAGGGTGGGCCTGGAGGCGGCCAGGCGGCCAGGTATCGGAGCAGGGCCTCCTGGTCTCCGGAAGGGAGTTCTGTCTCCTGGGAAGAGACCAGAGCTGGGTGGCACCTGGAGGAGAGGAGATGGTCATGGGAGCTGGCCGCGGCCCCAGAGAGCTGCTGTTGGGGTGGGTCCCACTGCAGGCAGGGAGGACGTGGGGCTCCCATGAAGTGCTGGGCCTCAGGGCTGGTGGGTGGGAGAGGCTGGGGGGCCGGTCGCGAGGGTCCTGCTCCTGCCTCATGGTCCCTTCTGCTCGGGCTTTGCCACCCGGAGCAGCTGGGCACGTCTGCAGTTCTCTCTGGGCCTGGGCTCTGGAGGGATGGGCAGCGTCCGGGGGGCCCCCTGGGAGGACAGTCAGGACAAGGATGACCTGCCAGGGTGAAGGAGAGAAAGGTGGGGTGGTCGCGCCAGGCTCCAGGCTGTTCCGCCACAAGCTGGACGGCCCAGTGGTGGGACCACGGACCTCAGGGCTGGACACCATCGCGGCTCTGCCCCTGCCCCTAGGCGCCTTGGGCACACTGCTCAAGCACCCGGGCCTCAGTTTCCCCATGCGTACGGGGGACGGCGGGTCACATCCCGCGGCTACTGTGAGGAGTGACTGCGGTAGGCCGGCGCCTGGCCTGTGGGAGAAGTACCGATGTTGGCCCTACCCCCCCTGCAGGCAGTGGGCTCCCCGCTTCGTGGTTCTGACGGGGGTGGCTACGGTGGTTACTACTGAGGTCCTGACCCTTCCTGCCGCCGCGGCCGCCGGCCCTTACTGACTGGCGTCTGCGCTGGAGGGAGGGGTCAGGGAAAACCACCACAAGGAAGAGATCAAAGCCTCCCGGGCCGGGACAGTCTCATGGAGGTTGTACTGAATGTCCACTCTGCCCACAGCTGGGCCGCGTCCTCCCAGCCTCGCCTCTGCTCTGTCTCCCCCAGGGGGTGTGCTTGTTGGTGCCGAGCCCCCACGGAGCCGCCTGGCCCCTCTCCAGTGTGAGAGCTGCCCTGCTCCAGGCTCCGCTCACCGCGTCTTCCTCTCTCTGTCTTTCAGCCTTGAAAAGATCTTTTGAGGTCGAGGAGGTCGAGACCCCCAACTCCACTCCGCCCCGGAGGGTTCAGACTCCCCTGCTCCGGGCCACGGTGGCCAGCTCCACGCAGAAATTCCAGAACTCAGAGCCAGCCGCCCGCCATGTAGACTCGCTCAGCCAGCGCTCCCCCAAGGCCGCCCTGCGGAGGGTCGAGCTCCCGGGGCCCAAGGCCGAGCCCGTGTCCCGGCGCACGGAGCTCTCCATCGACATCTCGTCCAAGCAGGTGGAGAACGCCAGTGGTGCCGGCCCGGCCCGGTTCGGGCTCAAGCGGGCCGAGGTGCTGGGCCACAAGACGCCGGAGCCCGCCCCTCGGAGGACGGAGATCACCCTCGTGAAGCCCCAGGAGCCGGCCCACCGGAGGATGGAGCCCGCCACCCCCAAGGTCCCCGAGGTGCCCGCTGCCCCTGCCGCTGACGCAGCCCCCAAGCGGGTGGAGCTCCAGGTGCCCAAGCCGGCCGACAGGCCTGCCTCCCCCATCCTGCCCCCGACCCTGGAGAATTCCGAACCCGCCCTGATGTCTCAGCTGCAGAGCCGGCTGGAGCCCAAGGGACCCCCTGCGGCCGAGGGGCCACCCAAGAGCCAAGAGGGTGAGTCACAGAGGCCAGGTCTCTGGTGCTGCTGTGCTGGGTGGGAGCTGGCTCGACCGCGGGGCCTCCGGAGGACGCTGAGATTGGGGGTGGCGTTTTCTCACGCAGACCTGAGCATTCAAGGACGGGTGTCCCAGGGGGAGAGGGGAGGGGCCAGCTGCTCTGTGCCTTGGGGCTGGGATCGGTTTGGACTTTGGGAGCACCTCTGGGTGGCCAGGACTCCACCCAGGGTCCTGGGCGTGGCTCTGGCGTGGCACCTGCTGTGTGGGTGTCTGAGCATGGGAAGTGAGGCAGGTGTGGGGTCCTGTGGGAGCTGCTCTGCAGGTGGTTCTGCCAGCCTGGGGTGGGTGGCGGGCGCCGCGGCCTCTGGGTGTGAGGTGGATTCCAGCCCTCGGAGATTTTACTTTGGGGGTTTTTCTTCGGAGGGAGGGGTGTGTCAGAGGCCAGGAGAAAGGGAAGAACACCTCGTCTCGGCCTCTATGATTCTCCGGCTGCTGGGAGGGGGTCCCCACCATGTGGAAAGCCAGGGATACCTGCTCGCAGCTTCGTTTGGGGGTACGCTTCCCAGGAAGGGAGAGAAAGGACGGGATTGAGCTCTGTCCTCCAGGGCCCAAACCGGGAGTTTGCTCATGGGGAGGCGGTGCTGGTCCTGGAAGTACAGGGAAGGCTGGTCCTGGGGTGCTGCTGTACCCCCATCCCCCAGCCTCGTGGGGTCATGTTACAGGTGCTGGCTGGTTGTTAACCCCATGAGCGCCACCCACCCCGGGCCACTCGGGACTCAGCGAGTGAGCGGGTTGGACAGGCAGGAAGGACGTCTGGGCCTTGATTTACCTTTTTAAAATTATTATTTAACTGGAAAATTGTGTCTAACATAAAATTCACCGTTTTCACCATTTTTAAAGTGTGTTAACCCCGTGGCTGTGTGGCCGTGACCCTCTGTCTCCAGAGCGCCTGGCTCCCCTGTTCTGTCCCCACGGGGCCCCCACCCTGGTCCTGCTCCCCCACCCCTGTCTCTGTCTGACCCCCCCACCCCCGGCCCTCTTGGAGGCAGAGCCCCTGCCTGGCTGCTCTCACTGGGCTGTGTCCCCGAGGCTCCCCGCGAGGTAGCCACTGCCCTCCTCCGTTGGAGGGAGGGGCCCTTCTCTGCACCCCCACCTGGGCACGCCTGCTCCCCACTGTTGTGAGTGGCGTTTCCGACATGGGTGTGTGGACGTCTGTCTGCTGCCCCGCTTTGGTTTCCCTGCTTCACTGGATTTCCTCTGGCCTGTGGCTTTGGGATGGGGAGGCTTGCGACGGGGTGGGGTACTGGACACATCGCTCCCCCACTGTGTTACCGTCAAAGGCGTGTTTGACCCGACAGGTTGGGGTGCCGGGATGTGGCTGAATTTCCTGCCCCGGGGGCCTCAGATCACACTCAGATCAGCCCCGGGTGTGGGTGTCTGCTCTCCCCCTCTGTGAACGTGACTGCAGGGCCGCCCTGCCCCACGGCCCGGGACGGGGTGTCTGGTGGGCATGGCAGGGTGTGCGCGTGGCCGGGCGGCTGCTTCCCAGCCTCTTGGTCCAGGGTCCTGGGCACCGGAGCCAGCCCCTCCCGGGAAGGCGCTCCGCTCAGCTGAGTCAAACAGGATGTGCTGGGAGGCGGCCGGCACCGCCGTCCAGATCTGGGTGACAGCTGGCGCTGGGTGTGCCTGGCGCTGGGCCTGCGCTGGGGGAGCCCAGGAGCGGGTCTCAGGCCACCCTGAGGCCCGTGCCGGCGCCGGGCCGCCAGCAGGCTCTGCCCGGGAGCAGGGGCGCTCAGCGCTGAGATGCAGGGGGTGGGGGCGGAGGGCGAGGCCTCCAGGAGCCCAGGCCCAGTTTGGAGCAGGAAAGAGCGGGGCAGAGACGGGGCAGAGAAGCATTCCCCGCCGCGCAGCAGCCGGATGTCCGGGGCTGGAACTTGGAGGGAACCGGGGAGTGCGTCTGCGGAGGAGCGTTTCCGTGTCTAGACGCCGTTCCCCTCAGGCCCCGCCGCCCACCCCGAGTGCAGGTGTGAGTCCAGCCCCAAGGGGGGCCGCTGGCTGGCCAGGCTGCCCCCACCTGCAGCTGGAGCTGGGTCTAGGGGATTCTTGTCACTTAAATATCACTACAGAAGCCGCCCCTTCCTGGCGGAGGGGTGTTGCCAGAATGCGCTGCAGTGGCCTTGGTCTCTCCCACTGGCCCCCGCACCGAGGTCCCTCTGGGTCTCTGTCCCCCCTCCTCGGCCCGTCCAGGTCGTCCGACACAGACCCGGCTCTCCCTGGGCCTGGCTTCCTGTCCACCCTTCCTGCAGAACTGGTGCAGTGCCCCCTTCTGCCTCCCCTTGGGGGCCTGGGCTGGGAGCTCTGGGCAGCCCCCACTGCAGACTCCGCTGCCCTGGTACCCAGAGGGAAGGATGAAGGAGGGAGCAGACCCCTCGGCTCCCCTGGGGACTTACAGGCTGTGGCTGGGGGCGGGAGGAGATACCCCAGCTGAGATACCTCCAGATTGGTCTCCCTAAATGCCCAGGGCTGATGAAATCCATGCCCCTGGTGAGCACCCTCTGGCCCCTCCCCCCGGGGCCCTCCACGGTCAGTTCAGCCTCTTGTCCAGCGGGCACCATCCTGCTCCCGCCCCTGCTGCGGCCTGTCCGTGGTCTCCCACAGACCACCCTTCCTCTCAGTGGTCCTGACCTCTGGGCCCTGGGCCCCGACCCCACTCTTCACACCACTGCCTCTTGAACTCCAGTGCCTCCTGCATGAGTCCTCCCTCCTCTGGGCAGAGGCAGCCTCACTACCTGGCTCCATGCTTCTCTGCGGCCTTCTCCTGTATAATGATCTTGTATTGGGTTTGGGCAGGAAATGATCTGTCTTCTTCCCGCAGCTGGACTTTTTTTGTTTCCCACATGAAGGGTGTTCAGAGTACCCGTTCTTTAAAATTCAGAAAACAGAAAGATGAGCTGAAGTCCGCCTGCCCGTCAGCTGGCCGTCGCGCTCGGCGCTTGCTACGCGCCCTTCGGGATTCCTTCCTCGCCCTGGTATTCTAGGTTACTTGAGGGTGGGGCTGTTGTCTTTGGGATTTTATTCCTGCTTTTTTAAAGAATCCGGTAAGATACCAAATCTGGGGCTTGGACGTAGTGGGGGCACTGCCGGAGTTGCTGAGTCTGGGGTGAGAAGTGGCAGCAGGCAGGTGCAGGGAGCCCCGAGGGGACTCACTGGGGAACACAGATGCCCCTTGGTCAGCTTTACCCGAGAGGGCCCGGGCAGCAGGGGCTGGGGAGCGGGTCCCGACCACTCCCACCAGAGGAGCGGGGATGACCCCAGCACTTGCCTGGGTGGCTCTGGGAGGGCCTGGGCTGCAGGGTTCAGAACCACATCTTCGGGGCGGGCTGCTGGCCCTGCCTCCCGGGAGCCACCCCCTCCCAACACCAGCCAAGTTCCCCGAGGCTGCCTTATAAGGTGGGCACTGCTGCTCCCCGTGGGGCTGGGTGCTCCGTGGAGGCCGCGGGGAGGCAGGGCCTGGCGGAGCAGCCCTGAGCCAGCACCCGGCCGAGTTCCCTGTGTGTCCTGCCTGCACCCCTGAGCGTCCAGGTTCTGAGGCCTGAAGTGGGGGTGGGGAGGTCTGAGCTCTCGGGTGCAGCCGCACAAGCCCCAGCCCCCCAAGAGCCAAGACAGGTCCAAGAGTCACGTAGGGCTGTGGGGTGAGGGTGGGGTGGGGCAGACACAGCCGTGTCTCAGTGGGGTTACCCTCTCACTAGAAAGTTCCAGAAATGGTGCTGGTCAAAGATGGTGCATTGAGGAAGCCCCGTGGCGGGTGTGGCTTCTTGCAGAGAGAGGCCTGCCTGCCCCACCGGCAGGTGTACCAGGCGTCTGCTGCCCAGGCCCGGAGTGGGGGACAGTGGGACCCACAAGCACAGGGTTCCCAGGACTCCCCAACAGGCATGTGGGCAGGGCAGGGGCTGAGCAGGAAAGTGAGTTCTGAGCTGAGTCTAAGGGCAGAGGAGGGGATCAGCCAGGAAAGTGAGAGGAGTGTTCCCCAGCAGAGTGGGGCCCCGGTGTGGGTGTGAAGTGGGGAGAGGCTGACCACCGTGTGATTGGGAGGGAGGACACAGGCTCTGCAGGGGCTTCCTAGACACCCCGTGTTTAACACCCACCAACTTAGGATTTGCTCTGGTCCTGTCCTGGGCTCTGAATTCCTCGCTGACGGGGGCTGCTTCTTGTCCACCCTTCACCCCGACACAGGGCATATGCATGGGGAACTTGTTAAATGGAGGGGGGGCTCGGGGTGTCTGTGACAGCTGCTCACAGAGTTGGCTTCCGGGTGGAAGAAACCACAGGGCTACTTGTGGTCACACAGGTGTTGCCTCCAGAAGGGCGTCCCACCTCCTGCCTCCCTGCAAGGCCGCTCCCGAGCCCCATATGCCTGGCCCCAGGGCACCCAGGTAACCCCTGGGCGGGGTTAAGGAGAAGTACCTCTCACACCTAGACATGAAGCAGGAGCCCGCTGGGCCCCTGGGGCAGAGTGGCCCGGGACAAAATTGGGGGCAGCAAGGACAGAACTTGGCTCGGGACGCAGGAAAAGGACCCCGCAGGGAGCGCCGCCGGCAGCTGCAGCGTGCCGTAAATAGAGCAGAGCGGGCACAGCTGCGGAGGGGCCCCTGGGAGCCCCCGCTGGAGGCTCATCTCCGCGCTGCCCCCTGTGGCTTTGGGGACCGAGGCCCTGACCGCCCGGCCCGGCCCCGGACACATGGCCTCGCCCAGTGCCGTGGGCAGCCGGAGCAGCTGCCAGAAGAGGAGCCGCGTCTTCGCCCGCAGCTCCCAAGGCCCAGGACAGCTGCTGGGAGCCGGGGCCGGCACAATGGGGCTGCTGTCCCCGGGCGCGGCCGCCCGACTGTCCGCTCTGTGCGGCGTGGACAGAGGGCGCATTCAGAGCCGGAGGGGGGCCCTCCGCCCCACCCCGCCCCCAGCGCGCTGAAGAGTGGCAGCCCTGCCCGGATCCCGGGTTTC